GCTGACCATGTTAAATTCGGGAGCGGTGACTCCGTATTTGTAACCGCAGTAGAAACAAGCACGGATAAGACGTGGTGGCATACGGATGGAAACAATAGCATACTAGCTAAATAGAACGGAACCATCAAACCACGGAGTCCAAATTTCATTGAAAATTCATCGAGTGAGCATGAGGCCTCATCGTCTAAGATATTAGGCGCATCTGCGACATAGCCATCCAATAAAATCCGTCGACAGTCTTGGTAATTCAAATTTCCACGATGCGTCACCATCCCAGCCTCGCCAGAGCCATGGAACGGTAACTCAAACAAACAACATCACATAGCTCTTCGAAAACATTTCCTTCATGTTTGAACAAATCAGCTGTTGTCGTCTTGAAAATAATTTTTATGCGCGCAATATCAAAACCACTTGTTGTATGTTACAACACCAAGTCGCTGGGAAACACTGCCCCTCTCGGGGATTGAACTGCACCGTCTTGATGCGACCTCGTTGAGTGCCTTCCGTCGAGCTATCAGCGGTGCTTCCCAAATCGGATCTACCCACAAAGTGCTCTGCCGTCAACCGCACAGGTGACACCTCTGACATCCACCGAGGCCATACAGGGGCCTTGCCCGTGCGAGCGACAGTGATTTCTATAAGCTTCTGACTTGCAGACGCATCTCCGACGGCTTCAGAAGGTTCTGTCGTGGACGAAGCTCCAGTTCGCGTCTCTCGAAACAGTTGAACAAAATGCACGAAGTTAAATCGACAATGTTGCGGTTTCTTTCTGGAGCCCTCCGGAGCATACTTGAAACAGGTGGCCTGATGTTCATGAAGGTGTCCGCTCAAAGCACAGATGCCACGTAAATCTTCACAAAAAGCATCCGCGTAGCCGCCAGGCTGGTGCACGGTGCCCCGACGAAGTCCATCACAGACTCGGCACTCGCATCCTGCAAAGCCACCCCTCAAAAGACGATAGTGTGGGAGACGAGTCATCACGGCTCCCGTCAACGGAATCTGACGGACACTGAAACCTTTCTTCTTCTCGTCGGTGACTTCCGAAGGGCCACTGTCTAGACGCTGTTGGATATGAAAATCAACGAAGCCGGCTTCCACAGGAACCAATGGTCTTCGTCTCTCAGGATCTTTGCGACAGTCTTCCAGCTCTCCGTCAAACTTGTCATCCTGTTGCCACTTCGCCAGATACGGCACACCTTTCAGTTCAACATTCTCGAAAGGCACGTCCGCAAAGTGTAGCTTGAATAAGCCAGCGCAAGAGCTCATCAAGGATTCGACTGCAAGCAAGGTTTGTTTCTGCCACTTGCGGAGTAATCCCTTGGCTGCAACAGTGTCAGCGGAGAGAACGCGACGGAGCCACTGCTGAGAAGTGCTGTGCACGAAGTGTAGCACTATGTGCGGGTGGCACGAAAGTCTGGCCTGTTCCTCTATAGGTCCATGCATCTGCGCAATGGCTCCGAAGCTCCCACCCATAAAGGCTGCCGCGCAGCCGTCTGCGAAGTAGACTCCGTTGCGCGTCCCATTGGGTCGCAACTGCTCGTCGTATGGCATGACGCCCAGAACGTGCTCCAGGAAGAGTCGCATGGACAGCACGAAAAAAACGAGCCTGGGCGATGGGATTTTCGGCCAGGATCTCGAGCATGCGGGAAGCCGTGGGCATGGTGGGGGCCTCATCCAACAACGACAGCGCAAACTTCTCGTTGTTGCCTTCCTTTGTGAAACCGCCCAGTGGATGTCGCACACACCCTTGCTGCAACATCACAACCAACGGGTTCCGGGCGTCGGCGACATTGGGAGTCAGAAATCCACCGATGGCTCCAAACCTCAATTGAAGCGTTGGAGAGGATAATCAACAGAAACAAAGCGCGTCAGGGACACCAAAAACAAAAGCATAAGAAAGCAGCAAAGAACACCTATTATACACATTGGCAGAGTCAAGGTACATGAGCATGGCACCATTCTGTTCGTGTCGCAGCTGTTGCCTCGCCCCGTCCGTGCCGATGACTTCTGCCGAAAAGAACAAGAGTTGTGATATGGCATCTCGGATTCTTTCATCAACGATGGACGAGCGCATGACGTCTGCGATGGTGGCATATTCTCCTAAGGATAACATTGCCCTGCTCAACCGATCCGAAGTGCACTGCAAAACCGTCTTCAAGGATTCTTTGAATTTCTTACGCTTCACATGTGCAGAAGCCAACCTCACCATCTCCATGCGTTTCCAAGTGTCGCAAGCGACTGCAACGAAGTTCAAATCTGCACACCAGCGCGGCACAGCCGGAGGTTGAAAGCTCCCCGAGCCGGGGACACCGGCTTGGTTCCCAGTGCTTTGGTCTTCCGGAGCTATGTCAGTTCGGTCCACGGCGTCGTATTCCAACTCCGCTCGTTCAAGTAGGTACCCAGCCCACTCACGAAAGGTCAGAGGTGCATCTCGGACAAGTCCATACACTCCATCTCCATAGGGAAACAACTCAGGAAAACACTTTTGCCAATATTCTGCGCTATACATACTCAAAGGTTTCGACGCAGTGTGCACCACCTGTACTGTCTTCAAATCAGGACTCTCGGTCGCTCCCTGCGTGCTGTCCATCTGCGCCACCAGCGCGTCAAGCTTGGCTTGCAGCTCCGCGGAGGACATACTTTCTGCCAGACGACGAAAGCTTTCCACTTCTGCATCGAAATCCATCGTCCTCTCTCGTCCCTGCTGTCTGCTCACGAGTAATTTCAACTTCGCAGCAAACTCTCGGAAGCAACGTTCCACGTCCAGGTCACTGGAACCTACCTCGCCTGCAGCGCAGCGAAAGCCAGGTAAATCTTCGGCGACTTCCTCAAAAGGATTCTCTTCATCCGGTCTATAGTTGTTCTCCACATTCTCCTCCCTTGCAACCTCAGCTTCCCCAACCGGAAAAGTACTGTCTCCGCCCATGTCCGTATCAGCAGGTCCACTCAACTTGAAAGGAACTTGATGTTCAGCTTCGACAGGAGTGGCTTGTGCTCGCACAGCTTCACAAGTCCCTCCAACTTCAGCAAACTGCGCCCGTGCTTCCTCTTCGTTCACAGACAAATGTTGATATGCCACATTGTGTGCCACCAAGAAGCGAGCCGCTCGCATGTACGCAGCTCGGGGTATCTCCGCCCACTCTGCGTGGTCCAAATCCTGGCAGGCATCCGATCATGCATGGACACAACGACACACTGACGATTAGAAGTATGAAAGTAGAGTACAAGGACATATTGATACAGAACTCTGCAAAATGCATAAGACTCACTGAGCCAGCCTCCGGGTCGCAGCCAACCAATGCAATGCTGATGGTTTCTGACACGAATCTGGTCGCGTCCTCTGCCTTTGGCGGGAGATGTGCAGTTTGTAGCTCATGTAACTTGGCCTGCGGAAAGGCGATGGTGTTCGCCCGGATGCCTTTCTGTTTCTCACGCACAGGTCCAGGTTTGTGTCGTTCAGCTACAATCTTCTGAACAACAGCTCGGCCAAGAGACAAGAGCAAGAAGGTCATGACCGAAAGAGGTTTGTTTCCACACTTGAAGGCCAGTGGGTATCGTCCGATCCAAAGCGAGTTAGCCAGTGCGAATTTCGGCATTGCAGGCATCTTTCGCGTGAGGCTCTGTCCACAGTGTCGACACACGAAGCATGCAGTATGTTTTGTCACAGGGGAAGGAATCGCTGCTGTGTTAAGCAACCACATCCATGGAGTACCATCGTCGTACTTGCCAGATGGGTGGGCCACACAACTTCCCAACAACTCAATTTCTGGAATGGACGGCCACAGCTTACAGTAACGACGAACATCGAAAATCTGAGCATGCACCTGTTCCACTTTGGTGGCATCTATCTCTTGCAGTTTCCAACCTTTGGCCATTCCTCGCGATCTTGGGACTCCACCACAGAGATCGTTGTCGCACTCTGGATTCTCATCAGCGCTGTCTATTCCGGCCTCGTCCATGACGTCTTGTGCCCCGCCTGCGCGAGCTTCCACAAACAACTGCAAGCGACTCATGTCTTCCAACCAACAGGTGCGAGCGCAGACCGCGCACGACTGCATCTGTCTCTCTCGGGCTTCCGCGCGCTTCCTCGAATGTGTTTGGTGGAAGGCATACGCTCCCACACCACGCCGAGTCTGGTCTCCGCATACTGGGAAAGGGCCTCTCACAGAACGCGCAGATAAATATTATATTATTATATAAATTCAACCCACATGCTTGTCGAACCACTCAGTCGAAAAAGATCAATCGAAACAAAAAATGTCGGGACACTCTTGTAGGTAACTCTTCCTTTCTGCTTATATGACATTGCAATGGAATCTGTTGTTCCGATAATCTAACAGTCTTTAGCATCGAAGACTGCAGTGAAATGCCGTTATGCTGTGATGTAATAGAACAGTAGGTAAAAGTTGACGTCTGGAATAGAGACTTCCATGTTCCACCTCAACCCAGCCTGAATGGCGTTCGTGAAAGACCAGGCGTTCGTGAAAGACCAGGCGTTTCCCAACACGTGTAGGCACGGAATTCAATACGCGCCGGTTGATTCAGGCCTTGAGTGCAAGGGTGATTGCGCAAAGTATTCACCAATGCCCAAAGTCAGGGCCAGTGACAACATGATGGGTTTACGTGCTCACCTCAAAAAAATGTCTTCCCCTGACCTTGTGCCTGCTCCACCTGCATGGCATCATGCTTTAGCAACACCCTCTTGGTGCGCGAGTGTTACCTAGAAGAGAATGCTAGTTGACAGTGAAACGCGCGCTCAGAGAATGACTCTCATCTGCTAATTTTCTTTTTTCACTTCTCAGAAAGATTTGAACCCCAGTTCACGGACACCCGATGCGGGCCTTGGAATTGAGGACCAGCATTCACACCCCTTTGGCGTCGTTCGCGCACCCCCTTGGAGGAACTGCTTTTGGGCTGGTGGCGGACTCGTCTTTGTGACGACCTTCAGCGGGAGTTCGGATGGTTTCGTGGTGCCATTTTTGCAATCACATTGAACCAAGATGATGTCAGCCGCCTACGACTACGGGCAGGTCGGAAGGAAACAGAGTGAGGCACACCGAACTAGGACATCCAGCAAGCTCTCTTAGGCAACCTTTGTTGTGTATTTTTGATGTGCAAGTGGCAGTCTGTGCCGTTGTGCAAATTGGATGTGTCCCAGCCCGACCAATAGTGAGAAGTTTTCATCGCTTTCTCACTTGGGGTTGTAGGTCTTTGCTAGCCATCAACATCATCATCATCATCAACAACAACATAGATCAACATCATGATGATCGTCGTTGTGATCCACTGTTAGTGGGGCTGGGCATCCAAAATTAGGACATTCCATTCATCGTGGGACTTCTTTGCCTCTCTAAGAGAGAGTGTTCTTTTACCTGCCAGCCGACCGAAGTGAATCAAAAGCTTGTGCCCAGAAAGTCCAGTGAAGCACAAGGGCATAGCTGCCATCACCTCCGTTTTGATGTCAAGTCAAGTCACCGGGCAGGTGCGCAGGCAGCCTCTTCACGAGCCCCCACTGCGCAGCGCAGCGCCTGCTGCCTCGGGTGCAGGTTCCTCCGGGGTTCCGATGGCGGCGATGGCCCCGGGGGGTTCGAACCGTTCCGATGGCCCCGAGGACGGCCGCCGCATCAAGGATGATGGGGGGAACGAAGTACGAAGTGCTTTTCAATGGAAGAACTGGATCATTGGTGTTTTTCCACCTGACTTTTGTTTGAGGTGCCAAGTGTGCATCATCGAAGAATGTATTTGTGAGGGCACACGAGGTGGATTCCGTGTGGCGAGCTGGAGGATGTGGGGGATGTGCTTAGTGAGGATCTCGGAGATGGTTTCAAAGGATTGGGGTAGCTTAGCTGAAATGACACGTGTAAGCAGAATGGGCAGCAAGATGAGAAGCTGCCTCGTTTGTTGGCTTTGACCCGTACGTGAAGGGCACTTGTTTGGACAAGATGGGCAAATGAATTCAATTGTTCTTAGACATCGTTGGACAGCTGCAGTGGCTTAGACAATTCTCTTGTGTTTTCTTTTTTCCATTTCTTTCTCCTTGCAAGAGGTTCTACGAGCAAGATCCAGTGATGGGAGGCCTCTGCTGGCGCGGGGGTCGAACTGGGCAGTTTGCAGTGCCAACAGAGCTATAGGACGATGTCTCCTTCCTGGGTACCAAAGGGATGCTTTCACTGCTTTCACCCAAACCACTTTAAGCCGGCCGATGCCATTCTTGCATCCTCTTCTGGCTGAGCGCCGGGCAGACATCACCCGGCGGAGTGGGCACCCCACCTGGGACCACTTCCCTGGAACCAAAGAAGACGAAAGGGGCAGACAGACACTCTCATCGCATCAATCCCATCCGGGCTTGGGGGGGCAATGCCAGGAGGCTGCAGCATGCTTAACGTATTGCTTGCTTAGTTTGCGTGGCATCCAGAGAGCTGTTTGAATGGATCGAGTCGATGGTTGCTGCAATAGCATAGAGATTGGCTGATCCAAATGTGCATGGTCCTTTGTAGATTGCTGAAACGCAGTCGCCGTTTCGCATACGTAGGCAATTCACAATTAGAAGGAGCTACTGGCCCGCGGAGAAGCTCTCTAACTTTCCAGTGCGAGCAAAGCTGCCAGAGGAATTGAATCAACAATCGGATGTTGTTGAAGCACCATTTTTCTTTCTGACAAAGTGTCCATGCGTAGTCATGTGTCCTTCTGAAGTGGCATAGAATTGTTCACCGGAGAAGCTTCGTTATGCGTCGAGTCCGAAGTCAGGGGAAGCCAAGCGACATGCAGATTCCATCCCCTTCGCTTTGTGATGTCTGCCAATTCACTGGCAGGTGCTTGAGGATATGCGAATGGTTGGCTGGGGATCCGTCACAGACCAGCTCAATCTGCCAGCCGGATGATTGGCCAGTCAAGACTTTAGAGCGGTGTGATCTTTGAGTTTCCCGTCGGTGGAGGGCTATTTTTGCTCGTTGAACTGGTCTTGGTCACGGCTTCAGTCCAGCGTGTTTCCTCGTCTTTCGGCAGCATATGTGAGGGTGCCTGAGGTGTGAAAGGACGCATCGGTGACGCGTGTCCAATCTTGGCTTTTCCACCCTTGGTTTTCCCTTGGTTTTTCAGAAAGATGCGTAGATGAATGAACGTATGTGATGGACCCTTGAAGAGTACAGTAGTTGAATTCCGTTGCACCATGGATGCCTGGAATCTCATGGGATTTTGATGGGATCCCATATGGGATCCCCGAAGTTCCACGAACGTGCAGACGGAGCGGGTTTTCTTTGTAAAGGCTCAGCATGGGATCCCCATTCGCTCCCACCCATGGGATCCACTTGAATTGCCGAAAGCACATGTTTGAATGAGCTGGCAGCTGGCACCGTTAAGCTAACTCCTTTTTGGTGGTGTTCAGCAACTTGGACTGGTCCAGATAGGTTTTAAGCTCGGAAGTTGGAACAGCTCTTTAGCGGGGACGAAGGGGGACCCCCATGCGGGTCTCACAGCCGGAAGGAGGGCGTCCGATCTTCGGCTCCCCCGTCGGTCCGGGTGGACGCGCCGCTGGTGTGAAGGTTCAGCTCGGAGCTCGGAGGAAGGGTGGGTTTTCTTGGGAGGATACACTGGACAAACGTCCCTGTCAGAGAGGAAAGAAAGGGAAAAATATGGAAAAAGGGATGTTGTGTCTTTGGATGTGTCTTTGGTATTGTCAGTTTGGTCGCAAGTAAATTTCCTGTAGTCGGTCCACAAGCCAATATTTATATTAATATATTCTCCGGCTATCATTAATTTAATTTATTCGTTCAACCTGTTTTCCGTGTTCCAAGAGATAAGAGTTTGAGTCGGCTGGCTTAAGGTGTTCGCTGAACTCATTTGGTCGGCTTGCGTGATCAACTGCCTGAACAAAGCCAGGTTTACGAGAAGAACCACCTTCGGATGCTTTTGATCACGCTTGAGTGAGGGGGACACCACAGCTTCAGTGCCACTTGCTTCGGTCCCAAACGAGCCGCCCTGAGAGCCTCCGGGGCAGACGGGGGAGCCTCCGGGGCCCCAAGACGCGAACGAAAAGGATGGCGCCCCCCAGCACCGCCCGCCCCGGCACCGCCGGACATCCAGGTGACCGATCTCGTCCAGAGAGTGCACCGGAACCGCAGCTTCGAGGCCCCGAACGTCCGAACGGCAGTGGTGAGTGAGGTGTGGTGAGTAGATGGCGCAGACCCCCAAGATGTCCCTGTACTTCCAAAAAGGGTGGTGGTGGTCCCAGGGCGCCTTCGGTGCCGGAGGCGATGCTGTTCACGGCCGGGCTGCCAGGGTGCCATGGAGATGCCATGGAGGGAATTGAAGGAAGGATTAAGGGTACAGTACTAAGTGGAGTATGATGAAGGGAGGGGGGGCGAGATGGTTTTGTTGTCTATTGCCGTACGTATGGCGTTAACGACTGACAAGTTCTTGTTTTGCATCATCAAACCTTGAAGGGCGACGCCTCTTTGGTGATGGCTGCTTAGTTTGGGGCGTTGCGGCCTTGCATACCCGGAGGTTTTCAGAGCAAGTCACGAACTCGACTTCAGCACCAGCATGGAATACAACAGAGAAGGTGCTTCCATTTGTCCCACCGTCTGCGCGGCAGGCCGCGCCGAGGATGGCAGCTGTCATGGATCGGGGCCTCAGGTATCGGAGGTCTTTCAGAGGCCGAGGGTGGAGCCCAGGATGTGACAGACTATGCGCAACTTGTAGGATAGGTCATGATAGGTCCGACAGGTAGAATCATGTAACAATGTTAAGTCATATTTATATAGATTTTTCTTTTAGCACCAGCTGTTCATGGGGGGGCCTGAGCAAAGTTCTTTTGAACAGATGATGTGAATATACAATCTATAGTAAACATGTTATTTTTTTTGCTATTTTAGGTTCAGTCAGAAATTGATCAGTGAGAAAACCAACACAAACTGGTCAAGCCACACTCTTCATTGGTTCTTGTTGATGCTGACCCTGCCTTGGTTCTTGAGAGTTTCTCTTAAGTTTCACCTTCCCAGGGATGACTTGATGCATGGACCAGCCAGCAATCTGCACCTTTTTCCCATTTTAAAGCCAAATACGACCATCTGGAGCATGGAGCCCCGGGTCCAACCGAAGCCTTTGACCGTTCCGGGGGTTTTCTGGGGGTTCTTCCTGCGAAGGATCTGAGGACGGCCACATCAAAGATGGATGGTTGAAGGAAAAAAAGGCACAGTGCATTCAATGGTTGGAGTAGAGTTCAATTCATCGTGAAGGACCATATGGATGTCTCGGATTCCGTGCCTCCCAGAAGTCCTGTTTTCTTCTTTTTGGTCGAGCAGCGACGAACTGGCAGACTGAGCGTTTGTCTTTTTTCAGACGTTCAGCGAGCGCCCATTCGCTCCCACCATGGGGTGGGTTCAGATGGGTTCAGGATGGTTCAGGTCTCTTTCGAAGTTTCGTTCTCTTTCGACGGCGAACGGCCCACCCTCCTCGATCCCAGGCTTCGGTGGACCTGTCGAGCGGAGTTCAAAGGGTGGGCGCCGGCAGGTGGTGTTCTTAGAAGGTCTGATGGCTATGGCTCTTCCATTTTTTACGTGTCGTTGACGGCTCAGCCAGAGTGGCTCAATGGGCTCCACTGCCCTTGGGGACCTCAAGAAGATGCAGACTGGCAGAAGACGGTAGATCGGCGGATGGGCGATCGGATGGGCCCTCTGCGTGCCCAGGTCTTGTTTTACGTTTGGGACAAGTTGTTTTGCACATATTTGAGGGAGATCAAGAGTCAGCCCTAGGGTGCGAGGGCTCCTGGGTTCCTTGTGTTGTTGCATGCCAGCCCTAGCGAACATTGGCCCAACTCGCCAAAAGCTGTGCCCTCATGACCTTTCCCCCCTGCTCTTGGCCTGTGGAAGCGTCTGTAAGGTTGGAACACAAGACCCTGAGAACTTGGATGAAGAACTCAAGCCTTTGGTAACAGCCTGGTCACATCTGGGCCCCTTCTTGGATCTGCGGGCTGGTCTGGATTCTAACCCCCCAGACAAAGACCAGTCCACAAGCCCCTAAGTTGGAGAAGATGAAAGCCTGGCCGATGGTCTACTTATGGATGGTTCGTGAGTCGTGGTCGGGCCCATCTGTCTCCTTTCAAGGGCTTTCTCCCCCCGCCCCAGATCCAAGAAGGGGCCCAGATGTGACCAGGAATCCATCCCGCCTATCGATCACTTATATAAAGGGGATGGATTCCCAGGGGCACCACCGTATCGCCAATATTTTTTCCACTCCACCATTTACTTATATTGAAAAATATTGGCTACTTCACTTACAGTCATTTTACTTTTATTTCTATTGTAAAATGACCCTTTCTTTCATGACTTATAATACAATGACATTGGCTTTTATTTTCCAAGTTCTTTTAATATAATAAAAGCCAATGGTAATAATATAAAATATATAATCTAGGAGCTAGCCGATAGCTTGGGTGCATAATTAAATTAAAGCACCCATCATTGTCATATAAGTATAAGAAGATATTAACCATCATTCATATTTTCATATAAAAGATTACTAAAATATAATATGAATGATGGTTAGGCCAAGAATATTATAATCTATTATTTTATTCACTAATACTAATATTCTTGGCCAATATAAATAAATAAATATTATCTTTTATATCTCTTATATGCCATTTGCAATATTAATTTCTTTATGAGCAAATGGCAATATTATATAATATAATCTCTGGCCGATAAATTATATAGTCTATCTCTTTTATTAAAGAATTTATCGGCCATTAACAATAAATAATATATAATTATTATCCGGCTTTTGCTATTTAAATATTTCATTTATCCAAAAGCCGGTAAATATAATATAATTCTATAATATAATGCCTGGCTTTTAATAATAGAAATAGCATAATAATAATAAATAAAAGCCAGGCAGTAAGTAATAATATAAGAGATATATATTTTATTATTCATATGGCATTTTATTCATAAAGTAATTCATATAATAAAATGCCATAAACATAAAGAATATAGCAACTAACCGATGACCGTGGATTTATTAGTAATTAAAAATCCACTCATGATTATAGAAATAAGAAATATATC